ACTTTAATGCTCTGTTTACTTTTTAAATCATAACAAGGTTGAGAGAACTAACTCATTTGCCAGTTTTCTCAAATATGTCCCATTCTGTAACAACTTTAGGAAGAAAACCTCACTACCATTTCACCTTTTTATAATCCTTAAAGGCTACTTCAAACTTTAATCACCTTTCTGATTTACATTCATGCTTTCATATATCACAAGTAATGTCCAGTTCTACTCACTTGTCTGTATCTACAAAGACTGATGTATTTACCTCCCTTTGCACCTGTAATTCCCATACCCTACCAGACCCTCATCATTTTTTTATGCGTAACTGTGACAACATCCTATCCTATATCTCAATAAACTCTTCCCAGTTCATTAGTATTTGTGTGTGGCCCTTGATTGCAGTAGGTTAATCTGAGGCAAAGTCCTTGTGAAAAATCCTTCTCCTTGAGAAGGGAAAGGACTCTAACTCCTCTTTAGATATTTCAGTGCCTTCCTTAGACTAGGTACATCAGCAAATACTTAAGTAATGGAAACTTTTTAAATATATTACAGTTTTATCCTATACTTTTACTTGCCTTATTTCTTTATATACCTTGATTACTTTGTTCAGTTTCTGAAATAAAACATAAAATACTTCATTGCCTTTTCTCTCTGTAGTATTTATAAAAGTGATTACTAAGGATACATATTATTTGCTAAGGATATACATTCATAACTTTTTTTTTTGTCTTTTTCATTTTTTATCGGTACCAGGGATCGAACTCACGACCGCCTGCTTGAAAGGCAGGTGCTCATGCCGCTGAGCTAAATCCCCAGCCCCTACATTAATAACTTTTGAAAGAGAAATTATAGTGGTATAATCTTTCACCATCTCCATCATTTTATCTTCCTTTTTATCTATATCCTAAATCTTAGAATGACTATTTCTAGGAAACATTTACTGCCTTAAGTCTATAAATTAACCAAAGTAAATAAAATAACTTTTGATATATAATTTTTGACTTAAACTAGTAATACATGAATCAAGTCACATAAATTATATTTTCTTTTCTTTAGGGAACGTTTACTGGGGAAAAATGCTGTATTCTTACCCACAGTTACTTTGGCTATTCATTAATGTTAAAACATAAACTTCAGATTTTTGCAACCATCCTTTTCTCATATTCTGAAATTCAAGAGTTGGAAGACATTATATGTGAGCTTATACAATGCAATCCCCCTGCGTAGTATTTAGTTTCTAAATCCCAAGGGCAAACATGTAAATTTCAGTGTTACTGTATTTGTCTGTTAAGTTTGGGGCATCAGTGTACTCAATTCTTTTTTTTTGTCCTAGCTGAATAAAAACATAACTATGTAAGAAAGAATATGTTGATAAGGATATGTTGACCCTTGAAATCTTGGTCATATATTGATTTTCTTATTAATAAATACTTTTTTCCCAAACTCATTTTATTTCAAGAAGAAAAACAAAGAAAAAAAGAAGAAAAAAATTTAAAACATGTCAATCAGAGGACAATGGTACATACATTGTGTATTGTCATACCCAAATCACTCACCCAGAGCGCAAGAGATCTGTGTTCAGTTGTCCAAACAATGCCAGCACAAATCTTTTTCTTCAGTGAAATCAAAGAAATTAGTAGTGTAACTATCTTAACTATTCTTTAAATACATATACATACACATATACATATGTTGTTACTTTCAGCTTTTCACACTGAGACAGTACGATGTTTACACCTGTCTTATTTACTTCACTGAGTATAGTCTCAAGTTATATTAATAGATACTTTAAAACTTGAACAACTACTTCTAAGATAACAATATGTAATTTATCAACTAATGATTTCTTACTGTTTTGTTAAAATTCTGTATAATTTCTACCCTTTTTTCTGGTTTGCTTTTTTTTCTCTAAAAAATTAATACAGATTTGTTTACAGACTCTTATTCCTCTATTCTATTCTGTTTCAAAGGTCACTTTTGTATTTCAATTCATCTGATGCATCCTGCCTTGGTGCCTAAGAGTAAAATTGAAAAATGAAAACCTAAACTAATCAAAAGTGTCACTTACTGGTGAATACAACTTACCCTAACATAAAAGTATTGTGATGGATTACTGATAGCCTACAAATGTACTTTGTACAAATGTTAATCCTACTGATTTTATTTGAATTCTTAACAAAATTTTATTTCTTTCAGAAATGATTCATAATGTATGCATTAATTTCTTTTCTGACAGTCTTTCCTTGATGTAACCTTGGCTCTGTTCTCAAGACTGAATGTTGTGATCAGTAACAAGTATATTTATTGATCAGGAAAGTCCATGTAGAATAGTTAAGACCTTATAGTTTCAGAGTGAGAATATTTTGAGTTTAAACTGCTGTTCTGTTTTTTGCTATCTTTATACCTCAGGCAATTTATTTAACCTAATTGGGTCCGAATTTTCTCTTACCACATGAGTTAGAAATGTTCTGCATATTGAAAGTGCTTGAAACTCAGCATAGTACTTGGAATATGAGTTTGTAGCTATTTTCCATTATGGTAGCAAGTTATAGTATTTATATTTTTAGTATCTATTAACTGAAATATTCATAGATTTCTTGACTTAGCTTAGGAATCGCGGTGCAAAATATAACTCAAGACTTTTGATTGATTTTGGCTGCAGAATTTCTCTTAGTGGTTCAGGAAAAATTCCTAAAGTTCTTTTTAAAGAAAAGCATATTTTTAAAGTTTCCTTAAGGTTTAGATTAAATTAATTCTTTAAAAAGAAAAGAAATAATGAGGAATTATTTTAAAGGTGCTTTTATATTGCATTGGAACATCTTATTTTGGATTATAAATTATATAAATAATGCATTTTTTGATTGACATATGCAGGATGTGTAAAAATGAGGCTCAGATTGTATTTATTCTGTTGGTGTATATCTCAGTCAAAAGAAATACAAGGAAAAACTCTGAAATATATGCAAAAGTAAACAGAATAATATATACCACATACTCTTCACCAATTTTATGGTCAAATATTATGGCCAGTATTATTTTACATCTGCTTCATCTACTTCTTACTTCATTAATTTGCTGAAGCAAATTTTATACTTATTTCATCCATGTGAAAAGTTCTCATGTGTATCTATAAAGATAAGGACTACTTTTGTACATAACTATAGTACCATTTTCAAACTTTAACATAAAGCCATGCTCCAAATAACAAAGTTTTGGTCAAATGATAGACTATTTATCCAATGGTATTCTCAAAAGATTGTAAAGATAGAAATTCCTCTTAGTGACAATGTAATCATCAGTCATATAAAAGTGTTGCATATACAACTGAGTATAGTACATAGTACTCATTAATAGCAACATACGACTATGTTCATATATATGTACTGTACTCTTAGTATTTTAGAGAATATACCTTGACTTGTAAAAAGTTTGCTGTAAACCTGTATTCCATGTTTCATTAGCAGCAGCATCTTGAGTTCTATCTTATGTTTTCATTGTGTCATTTTCTCTTGTAATATAGTCTCATGTTATTTTGTTCATCATGTCTCTTGGAATAATAGGCTATTTCTTTCAGCATACATATATCATACATCTTAGGATGTAGAAGGCTATACCATCTAAGTTTATATAAATATACTCTATAGTGTTCCCATGATGAGAAATCACCCAATGACATATTTGAATGTCAGTTATTGTTAAAATTCTTTCAGTAATATTTTTTAATGGTCGGTCTATTTAAATCAATATACAAGTAAGGACCAAATATTGGAATTTTTGATATATCTTTTAGAGTTTATATAATTTTCTTTTCTTTTTCTTTTTTTTCTTTTTTTCTTTTTTTTTACTTTTCATATTTTGTTAAAGAAATGGAAGTCCTTTATAGAATTTCCTATAAACTGGGTTTTTCTGTAGAGTACTGCTCATCCTATCTTTCCTTTGAAATTAATTAAATCTAGAGGCTTAATCAAATCGAAGTTTGATTTGAGGGTATAAGCCTACTCTATCAGTGAAATCATGATCCTTGCAAGAGGTTAGTGTCTCTATTTTTGATGATAGGCAGTCCATTCAAATTCAGGGCTTGGATCTGTTAATTTATTAGGTTTTACAAGATGCTGATATTCTGACTCTTAACATTCTATCTTCACTTATTGGCTGAAATATTCCCATAAAGAGAAATATGCATTACATTGGTACTTAGGTTCATAGAGATAAATATCCATCACAGTGATACTTAGGTTCATGAATGCTTTTGTTTGAAAACAGTTTGATTCATAAAACAGAAGCATTTGGCAAAATTTTGTTTTTATTCACAACTTTGCATTGGGTGAAAAATATAACTGCAGCTATCTTTCTCACACAAACACAAATATGGCCATCTTTTCACAATCATGTAACAAAATAAGTTCAGGAACTGAGATTCTACTGTATTTAAATAGTCTATGTTTTAGTTGAATTGACAACCCACAAGAATAATCTGTAGGGAGGTCTTCATAAATTAATATTTTCTTTCATGTTCTTATTTTGTTCATTTTAAAATTTTTGTTATTATAGTACACAATGATTACATCCATCATGGAGAGTTGGTACATGCACATAACACATTTTAATTTTTTCTCCCCTTTTCCTTCTCCTTTCCTCTTTCCTATATTTCATGGTCTCTTTTGCGTTTGCAAAAGATCTCCATGTTTCCTATTATCACAACTAATATTTTCAAATATCTTCCAACTTTATGGTCATTATAGTTTAGCAATGGTAATCAAATATATCTCTTTATCTTTTTAGATACAGATATAAAAGTCTCTATATGTTTGGTTAAAATTGTACATCCTTTAAGAAGTTCATACAAAAGACCATGAATAATCCTAAATTTAAATTTAAAAAGTAAAATCTCTAAGGCTCATATTCACTTTATAAATGTCAAAATATCTCATTTTTACCTAGACTATAGACATAATTGATCTTCCATTTTTATTGTTTGTAACATATTATTTTTATAAAATGTTAATTAAAAGGGAATGCAGTGGTGTCTTTTGAAAGAAGAGGATGTCATTCCTCGTATCAGGGCAATGGAGGGTCGTAGAGGAAGACCACCAAACCCAGATAGACAGCGAGCAAGAGATGAATCCAGGATGAAACGTCGCAAGGGTCGACCTCCAAATGTTGGCAGTGCTGAATTCCTAGACAACACAGATGCCAAATTGTTAAGAAAACTGCAAGCTCAAGGTAAGAAGCGTAATGTATCTGACATTGTAATAATCATACTAAAAAGTAATGTGTTCCTTATATTTTTGATTTTGAAATGATTGACGTTCTCATTTTCTAAAATATAGATATTAATGCTAGAATAAAATGAGAAAATAAGGAATCTTGCTAGTAACTGGAGCTCTTTGATTACATCATTTTCCGAGTCACACTTTGAACACATCCTACCATGTGTATTTAGAATTACAAAAGTGGTTGTTAAGCTGTTCAGGCTTGCACAGAAAGGGAATTAACCAGCACTTGGCACATGCCTTAAGGTTGTGCCAACCTTCTGGAAATTCTCCTTTTAACAGCTCCCGATTCCTTGAGGTGGTACATGGAAATAACTCCCTAATATGTGGATCTGTGGAGTATATTTTCAGAGAACTCCAGTTACTGGTAAGTAACCCCTAGTCTTCCAATTTGAATCCCCCTGTAGTCTGGATATATATTTTTTAATCCTCAATTAAAGGATTTATATCCATATTTTAAGATCACCAAAGATGTTACTTATCAAGGTCAAAGTGCGCATAATAACCTGAAATCTATTCATGATTCAAAGCTCTACATAAATTATCAACATGAAGCCATACTATATGTGGCACAGAAGGCTGAATAAAATAAAGTAGTTCTGCTGTAGAGTTTGAGTTACCAGTAGTATAAGGCCTCTTAAAGTTGTCTGAATACATCACCATGTGTAGATATCTTGTATTTGTACACATATATTTTTAAATGTATGATTTTAAATAAAGGTTCAATAATTAAAATTGATTTAGAAGACTAACAGAATTTTACTGTTGCTATAAATAAATCCCAACATCTGGAAGAAATGCCCAAAATACTTATTTCTTTTTATCATAAATACCACCATAATACTGACTTCTGTGTTCCTTGTTTGCATTTTAAAACAAAAATCCATGAAAAAAACTGATGCAAGGCTTTAAAATGAGAGATATTGTCTTAGTGCATATTAGAAGCATTAGGAGGCTTTTGTTAATCTTTTCAGAAATTGGCACACACACACTGAAACAGTCACATGTACATACATATCTTTTATTTCCTTTCCAAAATAAATAGACTTAAAAAGTTTATACTATTCAGCTTGATGTTTTTCCTTTGTCATGAATATCTTTTGGGAATAGCGTAGATAAATCAACTTAAGTCTTTTAATGGTTAATTGATAAGTGATACCATGTGTGGTTCTCCCATGCTACATTAACTCAGTTTCTTCTTGATTATTTTAGCTGTTTCTAAATCCTTATTTGCACATTCTTGTAATACATATACATTTCAAATATCCAAATAAAGGTTACACATAGGCTACATATATCATTTGTATGCAAATATTATCTCCAAAATCATTGCACCAGTTTACACTTTAACCAATAGCATGTAGGTCAACTGCCTAGAGTATAATTTAATGTCCAATATGATTTTTTCTGACTTAATATGTTGGTCAATTTTTAAAATTTTTCATACTACTTGATAGTTTAAGACTTTTATTTCTTCCAAAAAGTTATTAATGAAGGTTAAAATTAAAACAAGTGAAAGCTAACCAACACATACGAATTTTAAAACTATTTTCAGTAGATCATTAACTTTTCTGAAGAGTACATAATGTAGTGAAGGTGTTAATTGTTTGTATTAAATACATACTTGAAATTAACAGGATAGCCAAAACATGAGCTCTTCATACATGATTTGAATATCTAATACAAGCATCATTGTTACTTAGTATCCAAAATGGCAAATTTAAATTTGCAAAATTAACTGTATTTTTACTGTAACATATTAGAAGCTCAGTATTGTTTTCTCCTCTTAGATTTCAAATTGATTTTTATTACATTACATCACCCCACTGGTTGTAATTGGTTATACTTTGCAAATTCTGTTGCTTTTGGCTTTATTGTATATATGTGTTCTTTCTTAATGTATAAATAAAAATTAAATATTTAAGAATATAATTATTATTAATATTTATGACTGTCTGGGATATTGTTTACTTTTTTCCTTGAGGAAAATAAAAGGCAAAGATAAATCACTTTATCAGCAATTTTATTTTTAAGCGATTTCTAACAGTTTGGTAGAATGAAAGAATTCTAGAAGTTTTTATTATTGTTATCCTGCTAGGATCCAAAAAACTGAGTTTAATTTGAAGAAAGGTTCAGAATAATAAGATAAAGACAAGTCTTGAATATACTGCATATCCAAACATTGTGAAATTAGAACTTTAATTTCAAAAAGAATATAGATAAAAGATTGACAAGATTTAGATATGATAAAGGCTTTTTTAGTCTATATAAATAATCCTGCTTATTGAGCTCCAGTCACGCACTTAGTACATGTTTCTTATATAAATAAAACTGCTTGTTAATTGACAAATATTGTTAATAGAGCTTCCAAAAACATCACATAACACCTGTCCATTTATGTCAAAGACCTGAGATATTTTACAATCTCAATGTATCATTATTTAATGATGTACCTTTGAGAAAGAAAAGTGCTGCCAATTATTGTAATACAAGTATTGCATATTGTAATACAAATATTGTTATCCCTTTTCCAGTCTGCCTAACAATCTGGAAAGTTGTATTTATAATGCCATAGATATGTTATAGGAATCCCTGCAAGTTAATTCCAACCTATCACCTCCAGTGCAACCCATAGTGAGACTAAAGACATCAAGACATCCAAAGTTATGGGCAGTTAATGGGTCCTAAACCTAATCCACACAGGGATTCACAAGGCCTTGTTCCTACCCCTCTTCCAGAATTTATTATCTTGTGAAGAATGGAATGGTTCAAGAATGAGTGACAGTGAGGATGGTGGGAATTACATGAGCAAGGTGAGCTGAGCTAGATGGTCAGAGAGCAAGCACCTCTACAGTATGCAGGGAGATAGATATAAAGAAAGAACCAGTCTGCATAACTTGATTGGGATAACGTATCAGTGAATTTAGGAGTCGTTGCTTCAGTTTCTGATGTGTAAATTTTAGTAACCTGGGAAGTCATAACCTCTTATTTTGAGGCTTATACCCAGTTGACATTTCTGAAGTTATCAAGCTTTGCCATCCCACTGTGTTCAACTGTTTTACAGGGAACACAATGCAAAGAAACAGGAAATTGTCAGTTGGCCTTAAAGATTATATATCAGTATCCTAGCTGGCCTTATTTACATTGCATTGAGCCAGTTGAAGGAAGAAAAAAATAGCACAGCCAGTTCTGTCCATATCAGTACATGAAGACAGGGCTCTGTTTAAATAATGCAGAGATAATAGTTCTTCATTCAAGGAGAGCCATCCACTTTGTCTTCTACACCAATTTCCAGGCACATTTTAATTTTACTGATGCTAAAATGGTATAAAATATATCTTAAAATCCACAGACATGAATTATATACAGAAGATTACTAATTCTATGAGAAAATAAACTTTATTTCAAAAATAAACTTCATCTTTGAAATTAAAGCAACAAGTAATTTCTTAAGCCATATTTTTCAAATTAGTATTTCAAAAGTTAGTTACGTTATATATAGTGACTATAAACCAAATGAATGATAAAATGCAGTACTAGAAATAATTTATTCTTTAAGAAATGTAAGAAATGTAGGTAATTTATTTTTTAATAATTGCAATGTGGGTAAACTCTACATTTCTGTTTGCTCCAGTCTGTCTTTTTTCCATTTTGTTCTCCAATTTCCCAAAATGTAAAATTTAACTTTTATAAATTCTTAATAATTAATCAGAATTGTATATTCCTTGCAAATGTGAAAAGATATGTGAAGTTTTTAATATTTTTCAGTCAAGGTTCAGGGATATAGCTCAATGGCAAAGCACCTGCCTGGCAAGTGCAGCATCTTGAGTTTGATTCCCAGTACTAATATATATATATATATATATATATATATATATATATATATATATCTCAAAAGGGTTTAAAAATAAAAACTACTATGTGTTTGCACGGGGCTTGAAATTGACACATTTATATGTAAACACAGCTATATAATAGAATTTCTTAATTAATAGTTTAACTTAATTTAGAGAATTTTTTACTTCCCAGAGTATTTTGTATACAGATGTTTTTATGTGACCCAGAAATTTTTGATGATACCCATAATCCTGCAATACTGAAAATCATTGGATAATTGGTATATTTTTAATATCAGCCTCCATTTTATTTTTCATTAACATTTCCAGTTTATTAAATAAAATTAAAATCATTACATCTCCTTTGTTATAGAAAATTTCTTTATTAATAGTTTAACTATTAGTGAGCAAAATTAGCCTGAAACAAAACATCACACTTACATTTTCTAGAAAACTTCAATCAGCACATTTTGAAACCTCAAGACAAAGTTAAACCTTTATAACAGAGTTCAGTAAAATTTTCAGTTCTTAAATGTTGAAGTAGTATTTATCTGCCATTATTATAGGTGAGAATAATATTCTTTGAATGTATTATTATCAGAGGTTGCAGACTCTGCAGGCCAATTTAGAGAATTTTTATTTTCACAGTATTTTGTATATAGATGTTTTTATGTGACCCAGAAATGTTTGATGATACCCATAACCCTCCAATATTGAAAATCATTGGATAACTGGTGGTGTATTTTTAACATCAGCCTCCATTTTATTTTCATCAACACTCCCAGTTTAATAAATAAAATTAAAATCATTATATCTGCTTTGTTACAGAAAATTCACCCTACTAACCAACTTCATTTATTACAAAGACTTAGAGTTACATTCCTAGCTAAAAGCTCAAGGCATTCAAATATTGCTTAAAGATTTTTAGAGAGCCCACTATATACACTAATGAGCTCTAGGTATATTATTTATAAATTGAGCATAATGTTGCTTATTTTATAAAGTAGTTGTGATTAAACAAGCGCATGTAAATTTAGCACAATAGTGCCTGCAGTCAATAAATGGTAGAAATTGTTAGAGCAGAAATTATTCAGGTGCTACAAATCATATTCATTACCAATTGTCTTAGTTACTTTTCTCTCATTGTTGAGACAAAACACCTGATGTCCAAAATTAGGGAAGGAAAGGTTCATTTGGCTAACAGTTTGTAAGTTTCAATTCATAACCTGCTGGCTCCAAGGCAGGATGATGTGGCAGAGGGGCAACTCCTCTTGGTAGAAGATACAAAAGGAAAAAAGAGCAAAAAGGAAGAATAAGTCTCTTTTCCTCCCTTATATTGTATGCAGGCTACCTGCCCTCTGGCAGGTGTAGCGCTCACAGCCCTAGCCCCAGCACCAGACAATGAACCAATCACAAACTCTAGGTTGATCTGTCCCTGAAAACCTACCCCCATGACTGCATGAGCCATTGAGGAGACATCTAGACCCAAACCATAACACCAATGAATATAGTTTATAGGTTCTTTATAATTTCCATCAGTTACAAAGTAATGTTTTCTGAAACAATACTATGTTTTCTAAAATTATTTTTAATAATATCTTGGTATACCACTTACAGAGTTAGAAGTTTTCAAATTAAGTTATCCATCAAAAGAAAGAAGTAGTATGTTATAGTTTCTGTATCCTTTAAATGGTTGGCAAAATAATGCCACGTAACAACCACAAACCTCAGTGGCATCTGATATTAAGCATTAATCACTCACTTGTTTTCAGCTGAAGGGTAGCTAGGTAGGCTGATCTTGGCTGGGCTTGTTCATTTGTGTGGGATCAGCTGGGTCCATGTATCTCAATCTCCAGCAACCTAGCCCCAACATGTCCTATAGTAACAAACAAAACACAAAAATAGAGTACAAGTTTGCTTTTAAACTCTGCTTTCATTAAAGCTGTTAACATTCTGTTGACCATAGATCACATGGTTGAATTCACAATCAGGGACACAAAATATATTCCACCTCTTGATGAGTGTTGCTGCAAAGTCACATTGCAGATGATAGAAATAGAAGGAAGAATAAAGGATTGGGGCCATTAATTACATCTTCTACCCATAAGTTCAGGCATTTGTCCTTGAAAATTGTAAGAACTTTATTGTCCTTAAAATTCATTGACATGAATCCCCGGTACCGATTAAAAAAAAAAAAAAAAAAGGAAAAAAAATTCATTGACATGATACATTGTTTTTATGTTATGAAATTGAGTCCCTGTTAGATTACTGGATTTAAAGGATTTAACTGTTAGTATGGTTAGTTAAAATATAAGTTTAGCATAGGGTTCTGTTTAACTTTGGGATCTTTTTCTTTCTTATAAGTTCTGTTTTAAGATTAAATCTAACTTTCTATCTGTATATTAGCAGCTAATTTCCTAGAGTAGTATAGAATTACTTGAAATGTGGAAAAATGTATTTAAATGAGCCTCTGATTAGAATTAAGAAAAATATCATTTTATGTAGTTTTCTATTTGATCATATTTGATGAAATAATTTGGCAATTTCTGGGAGAAATGAACTTGACGTTATTACCCTTATTGCCCTACTTGGTATCTGTCTAATCTTAGGCAGATTTCTTTTTTTTTTAATTTTTAATTTTTTTTGTTTTTATGGTGCTGGGGATCAAACTTACAGCCTCATGCTTGCCAGGCAGGTGCTTATTCTACTGAGCTAAAACCCCAGCCTTAGGCAGCTTTTTTAAACATATTATTTCTCACATTGATACAGTACCAATTTCAGTTACTGTTTTAGATCAGCCATTATTCAAAATTGATAATAATACTCATTGAATTTTTGTATTTTTCAGAAATAGCCAGGCAAGCAGCACAAATAAAGCTTCTGAGAAAACTGCAAAAGCAGGAACAGGCTCGAGTTGCCAAAGAAGCTAAAAAACAACAAGGTAGGTGATGTAAAGGATGTCAAGAACTTGAAAAATGAGCATTGGAAAAGTCAAGGAGGTTTTTTCACTTCTTTACTTACCGGATAATAATCTGGGCTTTTGTTTGTCATCATAGCAATAATGGCTGCTGAGGAAAAACGAAAACAAAAAGAACAGATAAAGATTATGAAACAACAGGTATGTTGATGCATTTAAACTAATTTTCAAAGTACGGGCCTTATTTTGAATAGTGACTTGATTATGTACATTATTCTAATTTTGATTTCTTAAGTATGTTTCACATGAATGTTTTGCATCTTACTTAGAAAGTCACCATCTTCAATTAGTTAAGAAGTCACCTTGTTTTTAATTAAGTCTTCTCTCCCAAGGACTTTTGTTTGTTCATTTTTTACAGAGTTAGGGATTAAAGCCAAAGTCTTGCACATGCCAAGCAAACTCTTGATCACTGTACACACAAGTTTTTAAAGAAATCAATACCAAGTAGAAAATTTGCATAAGTATTTTAATTTCCTGGTAGATTTTGAATACAAATTGGCATCCTAAATATTTTAAAATAAATATACCAGTAAATGAAGGGTATTGCTTGAGCATTTGGAGTTAAATAAACTTAATTATTCTGAAACATATGAAATACTAATAAAATTAGATTCAAATTATACAGAATTAGATTCCCCCTCATTTCTTCTGAGTGCTTTCAGAGTTGCTTAAAAATTGGTTGAGCAAAAATGATGAAAGCACTATTTTAGAATATCCAAGAGTTCTTTCTTATATCTACAATATCCTCCCTCCATGGTTTTAAAAATTAAGTTTAAGTGAAGCTATTTTTAGATTATTGGTAAAAAGTTAAGTGAAAAGATAATCAGATTCATTTAAGATTGGAAGATTGTAAACTATTCTCCCATCTTCACATATTCATGAAACATTAAGTCAGAAAGAAAATGGTAGGGAAGGTCTATGCTTTAAAGAATTTCAAACAAGTAGTTGTTTCATTGTATAAAGTGAAACAGATATTTAGTATATATTCTGTAGATTTTTTTTTTTTTTTTTTTTTGGTACCAGCCATCAAATCATGACCTTGCTCATGCCAGGCAGGTGCTTTGCCCCTAAGCGATATTCCTGGCCTCTAGTATTTAGTATATAAATAGCTTGTTTTGTATTTTACATGATTGTCTTAGGGTTCCTTCCAGTATTGATGAAAGCAGTGTGACCAAGAGAATTAACATAGAGTTGGGATTTAGAATTCAGAGTTTGTAGTCAGGCAGTTTGGAGTTAAATTTGTGCTGAGTTACTTATTTAATCATTTTGTGGCTTAGATGTATTACCCCCTAAGTCTCTGTTTTCTCCATTATATAAAAAAAAGGTAACTACAATGTTTAAAGAGTAAATGAGATCATGAATGTAAAGTGCCATCATGACACCAAACACTTTAGAATGTTTATAAAATATCAAACTATATTGCATACTCTTTTATCATAATATAAAGTAGTCAATTGTAAACATGAATTTCTTTTGCTTATTGTGCCTCACAAACATTGTGAGCCTGACTTAAAATATTATGGAATACATTTTTAAAAATATTATATTTACTGATAAATATATATGTAAAAACAAAATTATATCATATTGTTAAGCAACAACAGAAAACCCAGTATTTATGTTACATTTTTCATGACTTATCCTATTTTATAATGATTAAAGACTCATCAGATACCATTAGTATTTGAGATTCAGCTTCCTGATCCTAAAGTTCTACAGTGGCCACCGCCTAAATATGTATGGTATTGTTACCATTTAAAAAGAACAGTTTGATTGCTGGTACCAAAAACATTTTTAAATTATATTTAATTTATATTAATTTAAAAAGAATTGGTGGGGCAGGGATATAGCTCAGTGGCACAGTGCCTACCTGGCAATCACAAAATCAATTTCAATTGCTATGATTTTTAAAAAACTTTTATGATCAGCAAGATATTTTGTGTATAGTAATCAACTCAGTGGTTAGATACTCAGTATTACAAGATGTAACCTATATTATAGTAATCTATAAATAATGTTTATGTATATGCATTTCCAAAGTAAAGTATAGCTTCAAAAGGTACAGCTAACATCTGGAATTAGAAGCAGGTATTATAATGTACATCAGAATAAATTGTATTTATTCTGCCAGGGATACAGCTCAGCAGCACAGTGTCTGCCTGGCAAGAACTAGGTCATGTGTTCAATTCCTGGAATTAAATTTTTTTTAATTTATTGTGAAATTTCTAGGACAAATACAATTTGAAATAAGAACTTGCTTTTCTTTAAGATAGATTCTCATAAATGCTAATTTGGGATTTGGAAAAGGAATTTAGGCACATGACATTGTTGACAATGTACTTATCACATATGAGTCAATATTTAAGATGTAAATTCTTACCAAAATTTAAATGATCACTAAATTTTAAAACCTAGTCAGGGGTTTAGCCCAGTGGCACAAAGCACCTGCTTACCAAGCATGAGGATGCAAGTTCAATCCCCAGTACAAAAAAAGAAAGTCTAATCTACCTTCATTAAATTTAGACCTTGGGTCCACCAATTATATCATGTAAATAATTCCATGGATTGTTAAATTGAAATTAATGCATTTTAAGTGTTACACATTATTTTGAGACAAACTTATTATGGTTAAAAAACAATGTCATGGGGCTGGGGATTTAGCTCAGTGGCATAAGTGCCTGCCTTGTAAGCAGGCAGTTGTGAGTTCGAGCCCTGGTACCCGTAAAAAGAAAAAAGGCAAAAAAAAAAAAAAAAAAAAAAAACCCAATGTCATATTACATTATTCACAAATTTTAGAAAGGAAATTATTATTAATATCTATTATAATTATGAAGCTTTATGCTTTTTAAAGCATTTTTATATAATTAAGGCAAAATACTTCATCCTGTTTTATGGAAGAGTAATTATTTGTTCAAGGTCACTGACCCAAAACTATTCTTACCTTTTCTGACTCCAGAGACACTGTACTTCTATTTTTTCTTTCATGTATTTATTTACAATTAGGTACTATTTGTAATTGCAAGTGTTTACAAAGATTCTCAAGCTATAGAAGTTTAACCAACTTGATTTACTGGTTTCTCAATATTTATTTAGCACTTGTATTTTATAGATTATGAGAAATTATAAAATCATGAATTTAATACATGATGATATATGTAATCTTATAATAAATAAATAATTGTTCTATCCTGGAAAGCCTTTGATAATTTAGTGCTTACACCTTAAATTATTTGATTCTGGATAAACACTGTTACCTAGATATATATTTTATAATCTTAAATTCTAATTTTTCTTCCAGGAAAAAATTAAGAGAATACAGCAAATTAGAATGGAAAAAGAACTTCGAGCACAGCAAATTCTAGAGGTAAAGTTCGTAAATTTCAAATATTTAAATTATAATGAAAAAATATAATTATGTCTTTCGTAGTCTGCAAAAAAAAATTCTTTGCCTTCATGTTTTCTCACCCATACAAATTAATATGTTCACCATTAATTCTCTTTAAACACAATCATAGTGAGACCTCTGATCTTATTCAGCACTCATTTGTACTCTGCTTTCTCTTCAGATCAAATAAATCAAACTCATTTGTTCCTAGCAATTAAAAACCAGGAAAAAAGAGAAAAAAAGGAAGGAAGGCAGGAAGAGAGGAAAGAAGGGAGGGCACAGATTGATGGAAGGAGAAAGGGCTTCTAGCAGTCAGTGTATTTGGCATAAAGTTCATGTGCTAAAACTCTTGTTCTTCAACCCCTCTCCCCCTCCTTATTAAGCTTGGTTTCCATTTTTCCCTTCATTTCTCATCATTTTTTTTCCCCTTGCTTTCTTTGGGAGGGTAGGGTTATAGGGAAAAAAAGAATCAAGTTATATTATGTATAAGTACAAATTCCCTATAATAAATGTGATCATTATGTAGACCTAAAATGTGGCAATAAACAATTTTTTTCAAAAATGTTCTTTACTTGGGTGGGGGAGGACCCGGGGATAAAACTCACGACTTTGCTAAGCAGGCATTTACACTGCTGAGCTAAACCCCCAGCCCCTGTTTACATTTTGAAAACTCATTATGTATCATCAGATATTTACTTTTAACTTAGAAACAAAGTTTTATAAAAGTAAATATTCTGCAATAAAATAAAACAGCTTTTCTAGTATGGTTTCTAGCATACTTCTTCTCTGCAAGCTGACTAGAATAGCAAGAGAGAAGACCTGTGTTGGCAACAGCAAAAGTAATAGCCAAAGGCAGTAGGGGAAAATACAGAAGAACTTCAGCTAGCATATGTGGGAACTCAAAACCCTAGCAAGAGCTTTTAATCTTTTAGTTGAATAGCAAGCAGTTTTCAACACCTTAATAGCCTGAAGGCATTACTCTGTCAAACTGTGCAGTATAATAACTGATGTTCAAAATAATTGCCCTGAGTCATCAAGAAAAAGTCAAATTATGGTTAGTGTACTGTGTCTAAACAGGCATATGTTTCAAAATTATTTCCATCTAAAATAGTAAAAGTAAACTTTTAATGTTTAAAGAATTTATAACCTCTCAGCTACTCAGGAAACTGCTGCTTTATAGAACACTTTATTCATTAAGGGCTCCAGATAGTTGAGGTTTTCTGTTATATCTTTTTTCCTTCTAGAAGTACACACATATTTCCTTACACATTTCACATTAATTTTTAAGCTCTCAAATCAAAAAATATTTCTATCTTCAAGTAAATTGATTTTAATTACAATATAGTTATAACCACTAGATGGTTAATGACTTTCAGATTACAAAGCTCACATTTGATAGCAGATCATGATAGTCAAAACATGCTTCATGAAATACACAAATTTTCCTTCTGTTAAAAAGAGGAAATGCATAACTTTTTTTTTTTTTTTTTTTTTGGTACCAGGGATCAAACTCACAACCTTGCACTTGCCAGGCAGGTGCTTATGCTGCTGAGCTAATTCTGTGGCCCCCTTTTTTTTTTTTTAATAGAGAAATGCATAACTCTAACCACAATATACAAAGATATTAAAATCAGTTTCAATGCTTCATTTAATGGATCTAGCCAAATGATTTTCTTTATCTAAAAGCTCAAGTACTAAAATAATTTTAAAATAATCATGTGCTGATTTATTCTTTAAATAATATTTATTAGTTAAACTATCCTTTTTTCTTAATTTTTTACAGATTATATTTTCTTTTGAAGTAAGAAAAATGCAATAAATGACATACAATCATTCTGTCTATGATGGTTTTAAGATAGAATAGCAAACAATTATTGCAGATTCTTAGCACTTTGTAGAAGAAAATCTTTCATGTTTTTTGTAATTTTTTATTTTAAAAATCAAAACAAAAAAGGATAAAAATGATACAGAATTTTAAAAAAGAAAAAAGTAGAGAATTAACACTAGTTAATATATTGTATATTGTTATCTCAGAACTAGTTGTTCAGGTTACAGAATCTAGTTTGTGCCTAAATCTTTCATATTTTTATAAATGCAAGAATTTTTCATTTATTCTAGTGCTAACCTAGAAATAAGAAACATACTTTGTGTGTCAACTATGTTAACTGAGGGAAATATGTGATTGTCTACATATATGTTGCATATTGTTTTGTATCTTGTGAGGCATGTAGCTTCATTTCAAGTGAGATTGTTTCCAAATTGTGGTGGTGTTGTTGCATGACTTTGAGACCTGTTTTGCATGCACAGGCTAAAAAGAAAAAGAAAGAAGAAGCGGCAAATGCTAAATTATTGGAGGCCGAGAAACGAATAAAGGTTAGTTTAGCTGACAATCAGAGTTTTTATTTTCCAAAAAATAAAAGCTACATGTTTATTAGCATCAAACTATATGAAAAATAGCTTTTCTCAAAATAACTACCTAAATATCCTTAGCAGATATGTGTATAAATTGTGTGCTTTTGTGTGTATTTTATGTATATTATGTATGTTTTATGTCATACAGGCTTTATGTAGTGCTTTGAGCTCTTTAAGTAGGAAAAATCAAATCCCAAATGCAAATGATTGCATAACACCTCTATATAGATTACTTGATAAGAATGAGCCTCCCAAAATTATTTTGTGCCACTTATATTTGTTTCAAATTGTGTCACAAATCTGATTTTGCCTTATAACTTTGTTGTTGTCCAACAACTGTTTTACCCATTAAAATGAAAAACATGCAGAAACAAATCTCTATCATGTTAATTACTGTAACTTAAAAGTCTTTCGAGATGCTTTGTTTTTTATTTCCATGAATGAAGCATAAGAAAGGTGTTCCATCCCTCCTCACCCATCTCTTACAATAACTTCTACCATGTATAACTGAATTCTGAAAGGGGTAGCTGTGTGAATCTGCTGGTACTGTTAATAGATAGCCACCACAGTACATCTTTTAAACCTGGAAAAGTGTTTTTTTAGGCGTTGGAAAGGGGGACATGGTGCTGGAGATTGAATCCTGGGCCTCACACATCCTAAGCACTAGCTCTATTTCTGAGCTATATCCCTATCCGTTGGTTATTTTTCTAACATAGACTCCCACTTTATTATTTAGACTTCTACTCCTTTTTATGCACATGCTTAATATTAATTTCATCCAATCTTTGCCTTTATAAAAACAGTGAAATTTAATGACATTACTAGAATTATTTGCATTAAGTCCCATCCCATTGGAGAACCGTAGGTGGATAGAGAAATCTCAATCTGATCACCGAAGTCTTTCATGAAGTAGAAAGCTTTGGTGTAAGTGGTACATACCTACATACCTCCAATGTACTTAGGAAGCTGTAGCAAGGGGATTGGAAGTTTGAGGCCAGCCTAAGCAACACACCAGGACCTTGTCTCAAAAGAAAAATTCAAAATCAAATAGATGTTACTAATTAGGGAGTATGTTCAAGAGTGTATATTCTGAGTGAAGAGAGTTTTAGAGCTGGCATGGTAATACCCTCCTGTAATCTCAGCACTAAGGAGGCTGAGCCAGAAGGATTGCTATAAATTCAAGAACTACATAGTGAGTTCTGGGCCAGACTACATAGCGAGATCCTATCTTAATGAGCCAATCAATTGATTAGTTTCAAAATACATGTGTGATTTGTATCATTATGCTCTGATAATCTACCTAGTCATGTTAGTATTTGTGACATTGAAGTGTATTATTAGGGCACACATTAAATTTTAAGTTGAAATTGTTATTCAAGAAAACTATATTTCTATTATATCAGGTTAGGTATTAGGTTTAACAGTATGCAGTTTAATTGTCATATTTTTAAAAACTAGATTGAATATTAGCAATTTTGTGTAGTCCAACCTAATGAAAGACCATAGAATCTCAGGAATTTTTAATACATTTAGCATGTTATACATTTTCACTAAAAAATCATATATTAAAAGCTTCTTATTTTTAAGGAAAAAGAAATGAGAAGACAACAAGCTGTTCTTCTGAAGCATCAGGTCTGTATAGATATAATTATGCAAATATTGAAAAGTACATTTTATAATTTTACTTAAACTTTGGGGGAAATTTTCAAAATATTTTCTGTAAAATTTCTAATGTAATTCTTGCTTATTTTTCCTTCATCTTATAGTTTAATGCCTTGCTTTGGTAATGGTGTCTTTTGGGGGGGGGGTTAAAAATCGGTTTTATGACTCTGTGATTTCTGTTTCATAATGTTGTGCCAACTCTTTCTACCAGGAGTTGGAGAGGCATAGACTAGATATGGTATGGGTATGTTTATTTTTGTACATCTAACACCGCATTGTGATTTGGTTGTGATATGGTTGTCATAGCAATGCATAAAGTGTAGCACTGGCTGCTGTCATATTACATACTGCTGCATGGCTTTACAGCACAGTGCATTGCATACATCTGCTTGTCTGTCTATAAAGAAATATGATGCATCTCTTAAGATTTCTCATTGAACTGTGTAAGACTTAAGTCTAGTATCTAAAAACATATATTACTGATGTCACAGGGAAAGTTGGAACACTGTACAATTAAAACAAAATTGTGACCTATATTCTCCCACCATTCTAGATGCAAAACTGCCATTGAGTACAATGGGAATTTTGAGTTTGTTTGATGAGAGAATATGACACAATTTAGAAATAGTTTTAGAAATATCCCTTTTGGAGGATCAAATACATTTAACCAAAATGGATTATATATTTTTACTATATAATTTCTAAATTTTAGAATAAAGTGAGAATATCAAGTTAAAATACTAATTACCTTATTTTCATACTGTACATTTTAGATTATACCTTTTTGGCCCATGGTGCAACTTATATAACTTTGAACAGTGCATCAAGTGGCAGACATCAGTAAATAGGAATGCCCCAATTTATTAGCATTTCTATATAAACCAAGGCTAGTTACTTTTGGTATAAAGGCTTTTTAAAAATTTTTAATTTGACAGTGGCTTCTTGAATTTACAATATGATTTTGTACTTGAAATAAAACTAGCCAACTATAATACCATGACATGAAAGTGATTACAGATCAGTTTCTGCCTGATCTAAAATTTTAAGAATACAACCTTTAGTTCAATTGGCTATAGTATTTGTGGTTTTTCTAATAGCAGATGTAAGGTAACTGACCTGTTCCAGCCAACCATTATGCTTTTTGTTCTGCCAGCTTTTGAAGGAGCATCACAACTGACCATAAGTAAATTTTGTATGCTTCTGTTTACACTGTCTCCATGTTCATTGCCTTACCTTTTTGCTTTTGATTGTTCTTGTATTTGCTTTCTAAACCTGAACTAAAACATGCACAGACTGGCCATTCTTGTCTTATATTTAGTATTTACCGTGACTTGTCTATAAATGCTAAACATGCTATACTGAGTTTTTTGTTGTTGGTGTTGTTGTTGTTGTTTTTCATTTGAAAAGCAAACTGTTAACTATGGTTGAGTTATTTTCCTAATTTTATCTGGCCTAATAGGAACGAGAACGAAGAAGACAACACATGATGCTTATGAAAGCTATGGAAGCTCGTAAAAAAGCAGAAGTAAGTGTGTTTCTAGAAGAATATTACCTTATAAATTAATATTTTTCTTGAACATTTACTTTTCTAAATACGATTTTTAAAGTATAGATTTATTATAGTATAACTAGATTTTATAAGAAACCAAAATTAAAAATAGTAACTGGATGTTAAAGCATAAAAGAATGTAGGAAGGATCTTAGTGTCTGTGTTAATTTTCTTGGCTGAAATTATAATTATCTTTTTTAATGTGTTGAATGACATTGGTTTAGATAAAAGTAGCTGTTTATTACTATAACTAGAGTGTCAAAAAACTTAATATTACCACATGCCTAGACAAATCTGTGTGTCTTAATTGAAATACTAATCCTTCAAACTATAGATATTTGCCATCAGAATTATTCTAAAGTGAATTTATTTTGAGTTCAATACAAATCACTTAAAGGTTAAAATACTTGCTACAAAGGAATGCATTCTGCATTAAAACTGTTGAGTAGATCCTCAAGTTCATAAGCGTGATGATCGGGTGTTCATGCTCCATGCATGACATGTGCCTCCTTTGAACCTTGTTATGACATCGGCACATTACCCATCTGACATAAAAAAAAAATGTTGAGTAGAGGAAGATTAAAAGACTCAAATTCCCATGCTGGCTCTGCTACCAATTTCCTTTAACTCTTTAATTTGTTACTTTAAAATTGAAATAATGGAGCTCATCCCCCCTGTGCAACCAGGCTGCCATCAAGTCTCTCCCACTGGTAACCAGAACAGATGGGATGAAGCAGCCAGCCCAGTCTCTATATACATGCAGGCCACCATAAGGACTCTCCTATGGGTAGCCAGGGTGAGTCAGGAAAACCAGCCATCTATGTCATGGAGAAGCATGCCTTTCTCCCCATCACCTCCTGAGGAACCTGAGGTAGAAAAACCCAGGTGCCTGATCCACCCCTTTACACTGTGGATGGGTAGTCAATGTGGGAAACTCCTGGGACTCCACAACTTGCTCCTCTGGAGAAACCCAGGAAAATGTCAGGACAGAGGAGAAAAGGGAAATCTCTGTCCTCCAGCTCAAACAACAAGTCCAAGAGACGTATATATGGAAGAAAGCAGAAGTTGCATACCTGAGATTTCTGGGATGATGGCAATAAAGAAACTATTTCATAAGACTGTAAAAGAAGTCAGATCAGAAGCAGTATCTCAGGTAAAAGAAGAAATGACAAACATAATAAAAGGGTTACTGAGGATATCTAAAGAAGACATAGATTTAAAAAAAAAGAATAGCATAGGAGAATGAGGGAAACCTTGAATGAACAATATAGAGAATTGGAATGCATGAAACACACTCAAGAGATATCCAGGAAATTAAAAATGCCATTGAAAGCTAGCAAAACCATTTGAAAGAAAATCAAGGTAGACTTTCAGAACTTGAAGACAGGATGGCAGTTAGTGATCATGAAAGAAAAGATCTCTTAAAAATAACAAGAAACCAGAAAACAACAATTTAATGGCTTCAAAATGATGCAGAGAAATATGGCTTAAGACTAATAGGTGTCAACAAAAAAGCAGGAGTCAACATAAATGCCATGAAGAGATTATTTACAGAAGTAATAGCAGAAAACTTCCCCAGCATGGGAAAAGGAACTGACAAACAGATAAGTGAGGCATATAAAACTCCAGCTATCCATAACCAAAATAAATCTACACCCAGACATATAATAATCAAGATCCAAGAAATTCAGCACAAGAACAGAATTTTAAAGGCTGTTAGAGAAAATAAACAGGTCACCTGTAAAGGAAAACCCATCAGAATCATGGCAAATTTCTCAACACAAACGATCAAGTCAAGAAGAGCTTGGAGTGAAGTATTTAAAGTCCTGAAAGAAAACAACTTCCAATCCAAACTGATGTACCCTGCAAAACTATCTTTCAAAATTAGTGGAGAAATATGATACTCCATTGACAAAGAGCAATTGAAGGAATTCATGACCACCAAACCAACAAAGAGTTGTAAAATATATCCTAGAGGAAATAAAAATGATCCCAGTCCCAGGAAAGCAGCACTGTAGAGCCAACAGCAGGAAAAAAGCTTTGCGGTGACAAACCAGTGCATGTTGCCCATAACCATGAATTTGGATGACTTCAATTCACCAATAAAAAGAAACACAGGCAGAGTAGATCAAGAAACAAGATCCATCAATATAAAATATACAAGAAACACATTAACTTGAAAGGAAATTCATAGACAGAAAGTCAAAGGAGAGAAAACAATGCTCCATACAATAGAAAACCAGAAAAAGTGGCTCATCAACACAAAACAGATTAAAAAAATATGGCATTTTTATACAACTGAAAACTACTCAGCTATAAAGAAGGAAAATCACAAAGCTCTTGTAGGTAAATGGATGCAACTTGTGATCATGCTCTTGGGTGATATGGTTTTGGACTCACATAGGTGAACATCACATTGTCTTCCTAGTATCACCTTCATTTTTTTGTTGTTGTTGTTTTGATTGGTTTTATTCTGTTCTGTTTTGTTTGATTTTATTAGGTCTGATGGTATGGGCAGCTGTTTTGAATATAACAAGAGGCATTATGACAGCAATTGTTAATCTCCTATTATGTTGTTTTGAAGTTCTGTATGGCTTTATTCCATTTCATTTTGTTTGAGTATATTCTTTTTAAAATAAAAAAATTTTAATTTTTGAAAAAATTGAAATAATGATATATACCGTGCAGGATTGTGGGATTATCACGTGAGATAAGCATTTCATAAATGAGAATTGGGCTGGGAATGTGGCTCAGTAGGCTCACTTTCTTCATGTATGTGAGGCCCTGAGTTTGATCCCTAGCACTGCAATAGAGACAGACAGATAGATGGTTAATGAAAATGACACTGTTTAGTTGAAAGATACATATTTTGGACTCCGCTCTGGCATAAATTCCAAAGGTGGATTTCTGCTATGTACAGACTAAATAGTATAGCCAGATCACCTGAATTTAGATTCTGATTTTAGTACTTTACAGCTACATGACCTCTGGCAAGGTATTTAACATTTTGTGATTCCTCTATAAAATGGAAATAATACGAATTCTTAACTTATAGGGTTGTAGTGATTTTTAAATGAGTATGTGGATAAGTTAAGATGTAAAGTTCTTAGAACTACAACACCACAGAGTACCCAACAATTACTTACTGTATTTTATATTCAGTAGGGCAAAGTGAGTTTAACAAGAAGCATAGTCAAGGTTAGAAACTACTAACACAGATTACCTCTGGTTTCTTTCAGCAATCACTTTTTGTGGCTCTCTTGAATTTTATGCCCTAATATTTTTTCCTGATGTCCATTTTCTCCTAACTTACTGATTATTTAGGTCCTCTACAACAACATGGTAATTGAATTTATGCATCTGTGTGTCCAGTTATAACCATAATCTTTGAAAAGTGATAGCCAGGAAGAGAGATAACTATCATGTGAACTGGCATGGCCTCTGCGCTCTGTATTCTTTTTTTGGAGCAGTATAACAGTAGCAAGAATAGGGAAAGAGAATATTTCTGAATATTCAACCTAATTTCTTCCACTGAAGAAATATAAATTAAAGGACAACTAATAATTTGAGGAAAAGACCAGGGAGAAACAATTTTTTCTCTACAACTCTTCTCCTCCTGTTCCTTCTCCTCCATCTCCTCCTTTATCTTCATCTTCTTCATCTTCCTTGTCCTTCTCATCTTCATTTTTCTTTTTCCTCTCTTTTTCCCTCCCACTCTCTCTCTCTCTTTCTTTCTTACCTGAAGTAATACATAGAACCAAAGTTTGTCCTTCTCATGTTTCCTGTCAGAGAAGAAGGGTAATGAAGAAAAACATGATAATAAAGGGCACTATCAGAGGAGGTAAATGCCAAGATAAAAGAGAACCCAAAAGGGCTCAAAAGACATTCCTTTCCCATTGGCTTTTCATATTTCTGCTCTATGGCCTGGGGAGTAAGGAAAGCTGCTACAGAGAGCTAAGCAAACTCAAGAGTTGAATGGAGAGTGACAGCTTATTAAAACAAGATATTCTGAGAACTAATAAAGCCCAGTGAGAAGAAACAAAAGGAAAACCTATTTATATTACAGCAATATAGGTGTTTAATAGGGCTGCCAGTTATCAAGCATAAGCAATCTGAAAAGAAATGAGAAAACAACCTTGATAAAATAAAGCAAATATAGGCATATATACATAAATTGTAACTTAAATCAAAAGAATTTGGTTTCCCTACATTTATTCTGACTTCCTCATTACTTCCTTGCATTCTCTATTGAACAGCCATTGATCTTCCAAAAACTAAACCAAATCCATACCATAACACTGTCTAGTGGCTTCTTGTTTGAATGATAATAAAGTCCATCTCCTTACCATGACATAATAGTCCCAAATGTTCTGATCTCTCCCTGAACTCCAAATTTACCTCATATAATTTTCTTATTATTTCATCATTTTTGCCTTACTATCATTCCAAAAGAGACTTTACCCTTCCTGTTATGGTTACAATTTGTTGTTCAATGACAGATCAAATGTTAATTTGTCAGAGGTCTTCCTTTAAAACACTTAACTCTTGAACTCCAATTTTTCTTGCCTGTGGTCTGCCTCCTTCCAGAATGCAAAACCTATCAGAACAAGTCTTTCTTTCTTATTGTTGGATCACCAACAACTTGACTTTAGAAAAGTACATAATACATAGAAAACTGTAGTTGAAAACAGGCAAAACAACATATGCCTACAGTCCCAGCTACTTGGGAGCCTGAGACAGGTGGACTGCCAGCCTTAGCAAGTTGGCAAAACCCTGACTTAAAAAATTTAAAAGACTGGGATGTGACTCAGTGGTTAGAGTGCCCTTGAGTTTAGTTGCCATAACTGGAAAAAACATTGTAGTTGAATGAATGAAATAGTGGATGAGTTAAAGGAAGTGCTAGAACTAAAAATGAAGGCAAAAAGAAAACCACATTATTATGAGATCTGTTTATATAATTATAAAACATTTCTTTC